GGGGGCTCAGGGAGTGCGGCGTCCCAGGTCTCTCTGAGCTCTTCCGAGCCAGCTGTGCATCCTCGGCTCGGGCCTCGCCCTCTCTGAGCCTCGGTTCCTCCTCCGGCTTCAAACCAGACAAGGAGAGGAAAGCGCCTGGCACAGAAGGTGACCACCACCCCAGTGTCCACCCCGGGTGAATCTGAGCAAAACGGGCTGCAGCCAGAAGACAGGACGTCGTCCACCCGTGAGGCCGCACCGCAGGCTCCTCCAGGACCCAGGAGGAAGCCAGGCACAGGCCCTTGCTGACTGGTCAGTCCCCGTGGACAGAGCAGACCGGCGGCCGCCCAGGGCTCCGGAGGGTAAGGGGACGACAGGGGGAGGAGGTGAAGCCACCTGGTGGCCGCACAGCGGGGGCTGCTGGAGGTGTCCCCTGGTGGCTCTGCTCACAGCAGGGCTCTGCCGGGTCCTGGCCTGGACTCAGAGCTCCTGACCCCCCTCCCCTCCACCCCCTCAGTCACCAGGGTCCTTTGGGGTCCAGGGTCCCGGTCAGGGGGAAGAGGAGGGCGAGGGGCAGCGGTCATAAAGCAGGGGTGGGGCTGGGGTGGGGGGCATTTTTGGCAAGGGCCCTGCCACACCCCAGCCCCCACAGACTGGGGACAGGGCCCGCTGGCTGGCCCCCACCCTGCCCTGCCCACGTGGACCGAGCCCAGCGGCAGCCAGGTTCTGTCCGGTGGGGACAGGCGGGACCTGGGCCAGGAGGCCAGGGCTGGGTCCCTGCTCCCCGCCGCTGGCCCGTGGGGGTGGACAGTGCATCTGGGCCTCAGTCTCCCTCTCTGTGAAGTGGGCTACCCGCGCCTCCTCCCCTCGCGGTGGCAAGGGGGGACCAGCACCACTCACCCTGCGCGCAGAAGACCCGCAGCCGCCTGGCGTCCGGCCAGGGCGCCTCCAGGACCAGCCTGTGGCTGCGGAAGACCTCGTCGGGGCCGTCGCAGCTGAGCACCAGGGGGGACATGTCCTGCAGGTCTGGGAGAGTGGCCCCTTGAGGAGGCCCTTCCCACCCCCCAGGCCCCTCCCACCCCTGCCAACTCCTGCCACTCACCCTCCAGGGACATCAGCCGGCTGTTCTGCAGGTCAGGCCCCACAGAGTTGTCACTGTCCTTGTCACAGTTAACCAGCAGGATGGCCCCGTGGCCCTCAGGGCCCCAGCGCCAGGTTTTCTGAGGCAAAACAGGAAGGTCAGCGGGAAGCAGGAGGCTCCAGAGAGGACTCCCACGTGGCCCGGGCTGGCTGGCGAGCTTTTGTCCCCTGGGTTTGCTCAAAGATTTAAGGAGGGACCTTAGACTCGGGACTAGCGTACTTGGTGAGGCCTCACCTTGTGCAGTGAACAACCTGAGCAACCATACACGGCGACTTTGCCCAGCCACGACATTGGAGGAGCAAGGCTGACGTGGCCAAGCCCAGAAATGGTCCTCAGAGCTGGCTGAGCTTCATCCCTACCTGGGGGCCAGGCTGCCCACCTTGAACTTGACCTCACAGGGCCACTGTCAGCCTATACAGCACTCCTTGGCACAGTTGTCCACCTCTCATGGTAGATAACACCATGCACATGATTTGCATTATACTCCCACCTACCACCTAGACCAAGCACCCTTGTGCAGTGAGCAACCTGCACAGCCTCCCACGACGGCACTGCACTACCTCGTCCACCAAGCCCTGTGTTCCTGGCTGCCTCTCTGGGCTGCTGTTCCTTCCACCCCTTCCAGGACAGCTTCCAGCTACTTCCTGTGGTGTGATGCTCGGAGCCCACCCCATTGTCCTCTTCACCCTCCCTGGTCCAACTGGGCTGGCTACCAGGGCCCCCCTACCAGGAGGAGGTCATTCAGTCACTCGTCAACGTTTCTCGGAGCACCCGCCCTGCGTGGGGCCCAGATGCAGCACGGGAGAGCCGTGTCCAGCGTCACCCGGGAAGACGCTGACGTGCTCTCATGCCCATGAGCCATCCCTGGGGGCTCCCTCGCTGCCCGAGGCCCCGGCCCCGGGAATCCATGTCCCTGTGGAAGCAGGGCCCCGTCCACCCGAGACCGCCCCAGGTCTGCGGCCAGCCCCGGGTCCTGGGGTAGCCGGACGGGCCTCACCTTGTCACGGCCGCTTCTCCTGACCTTGCCCACGCGGTCAGTGTCAACGTCCAGGGAAACGTCTGGAAGGGTGGACAGGGCTCCCGTCTTCACACCCGTGAGGCCCAGATTGGCCAGCCCCCTCCCAGGTCAGGAAGGGCCAGCAAGCCCAGCCCTGGGGACCGTCCCCTACTCTCGGGAGGCCCTGTGGTTCTGCAGGGTGACACTCGAGGCACCTGCTAGTCTGTGTGTGTTGGGTGGATCCTGTGGGTGGCCCTGGGCTCACAGGCCACATGCCGGTGGCCCCTGGCCCTGGCAGCTGGGGACTCAGAGTGGGCTGCGGGGGCTCTGGGTGAAGGGGCCGTGTGGCCTCAGGGCCTGGCTGGGGACCCTGGTGTCCCCTCGGGCCTGTGTGGGCTCCAGGGGAAGGAGGCCCCCGTGGCTCGGGCCCTTGGTCTCTGGGCGGAAGTTTCTAGACCCCGTGGCCCTGAGTTGGGCCGGGTGTCCACCCGGGGGTTCCAGAGTGGGCGGAAGGGTCAGTCCTCCCTCTGAGGCGAGGGAAGCCGGCCGAGGGCCCCGCAGGACCTGGCACAGCCGGGCGGACGGCAGGGTGGCACTTACCCACGCAGGTGAGGAGCAGCACGCTGCGGCCCAGGGCCTCGCCCCCCTCCGCCCCGAAGTAGGCCACCTTCACCTGCGGAGCAGAGTCCGCCCTCAGCCACTGCAGAGCCACCTGCAGAGCCGCGGCGCAGACAGGGGACAGCCCTGCCCAGCACAGGGCCGGCACAGGAAGCCCAGGGCCAGGGGTCCGAGGGTCCTGGGCTCTGGCTTGGGCGCAGAGCCGCCTCCTCAGCCCCAGGCCAGGGGCCTTCCCGAGCTGCAGACCCCGCAGCCGCGTCCTGCTCAGGCGTCCCCGTGGGCCAGGGAGGCCGTCCAGGCCCTGACAGAGCAGGGACCGGAGCCACAGGTTCCCAGCCCTGTCCCCGTCAGCCCTGGGCCTGGCTTCTGCCTGCGGGGGAGGGGCTGTGGCCCCCGGGGCAGGCGCCTGGACACGCGGTCAGCGGGGGCTCAGACGGTTCTGCTGTGCAGGGAGGGGGGCTGCAGGGTCTGTGTGCGGGGGTGACGGGGGTCCCGAGTGGAGGTGACAGGCAGGCGGGGGCTCCCCGGGGACCCACGGTGCCCAGCTGCGCGGCTGGGGGGGGGTTCCAGGTTTGGTGGCCGTGGAGTTGCATCAGGGACACGCTGGGTGACGTGGATGGCGCCGTGGGCAGCTCTTCCCCCGGGTGGGCTCAGCCCCTTACTCCAAGGACGTGGTCTCTTACCTCGAGGTCATTGAAGTCCTTACTGGCTTTGTCTGCAGAAACGATGACCTCCACACTGGTGTCCAGGGGCCAGGGCGCCTTGCCCGCAGGCTCTGTCACCCGAGTGGAATCGTAGGCCACAAAGATATCCAACTTGGAGCTCCCAGAGACGTCGAAGTTCTTGGCGCCCTTGGGCACATCACTGCAGAGGAGGGAGAGAGGATGAGGCCCAGGGACCCAGGAGGGTGGACACGGGGGGGGTCACCCCTCATAGCTGGTCTAGGGACCACTCCCACCCAGCCCTCAAGGCCCACTTTGCCCTGGCCACCCGGCCTTCCTGCTGGTCCCTAAAGACGCCAGGCTGGGCTGCCTCAGGACCTTTGCACTGGCCGTTTTCTCGAGGTACAATGTTCTTCCCCAGATACCCACCAGGCTCCTTCTCTCAAACTTCAGGGCCCTGCGAGGACGTCACCATTTAATGCCGCACCTTCCCCACCCTCTTCCCCACTGCCCCGTCCCCTCACCCTGCTGGGATCCCTGGTCCTGCCTGGCTAGAGTCCATCTCCACGGCTAGCTCAGCTCTGCGCTCCCTGCTGCATCCTGGGAACGCATGCCTGGCACGTAGTAGGTGCTCAATAAACCTCTTAACACATGAGTGGACGCTCACTTTCCCAGACCCCACAGGGGGTCCTGGGGCTCATCTGCACCCGGATGGGGACAGGGCACTTGATCCACCCGGTGCCACTTCTCTCCGGCCACCTATACCCCCGAGCCCTGGGGCACCACAGTACCGCCAGCCCCCTCAGCACAGCGGGTTGGGAGCGGCCTTCCTGGCCTCAGCTCTGGGGAGGGGAGTGCCCCGTTCTCAGGCCACAGGACACGGAGAGTCCAGCCAGCGGGGCCTCTGGGGGCAGCTTGTCCTTCCTCACCGCATACAAGAGACTGGGCTCCTCTGGGCCACGGAGGCCAGGAGGGAAGGTCACTCCCTCAGGTCCATGGCAGAGCCGAAGCCTCAAGCCACCCCCAAAGCCCGGTCCCCCTAGAGACGTCCACACGACCACCAAGATGGCTCTGGAGGGTCCTTTTACCTACGCCTCCACGCTTCCCGGACCCCAAGAACCCTCCCCAAATCACATCCTCCCCCAGCCCTGCCACGGTCACTCTGTCCCCAGCTGCCCCTGTTGACCATGGTGACAAGAGTCACAGGTCCTACATCACAAGTCCCGCTGTGGTGGCTCACAGGGCCGCTTCCCGGCAGAGACGGAGTGAGTGGGGCCCCCGAGGCCCCGGGCCCCAAGCAGGATCGGCTCCCCAGGCCCAGGTGGGTCCCCATCGCTGCCGGACGCCCGTCAGTGGCCCTTCGTGTGTGTCCACCCGTCCCCACGGGGACCCCAAGTCTCAGGTCTCGTGCTCATCCACGCACAACCACGTCTTTCGGTCTCACGACAGGGTCACCTTGGACAGTCCCTGGGCCTTCACCCGACAGCCCGGCCACCTTGTCCCCACGGCCGCTCCTCCCGCCCCCTCGGCCCTGGGCCCCGGTGGGCAGGGCGCTTCCTACCTCCCTGTCCCCTCCCAGATGGCTTCTGTCCCTTGTCCGTAGCCCCCTGTGTGAATTAAAACCTTAGGTGCCACCACCTATCCCACTGTCACTCTGCCCTGGTCCCTTGAGGGGGCGGCTCCTGCCCCTGTCCCCGGCCTGCCCTCTCCTGGCTTCTTTCAATGGCCACGTGGACAGCACTCCCCAGCCTGGCTGCCCAGTCCTGTGACCTCTGCTGTCCCCCTCCGACCTCGCTGCCCCATGGGTGAACCCCACACTCTGTCGTCACCCAGAACAGCAGGCGCTGCCAGTGTCCTGCTGTGACTGCCACCTGCTGCACCAGCCCCCCCAGGGCTCCGCGCACTGGACAGCGGCTGAGCCTCCCAATTCTCCCCGCCACCTCGTCACCCAGCGCACCTGCCTCCGAGCTCAGTCCCCACTGCCCTCCTGAACAAGGGACAAATGGCCTGGCATCCTGCCCAAGACCTGGCCTCCGCGGGTGAGGGCCCCAAGGTCACGGTCCCTTCTCCCTCTCCCACGTCCTGCACAGCCACGGCTGCCAACGTCCCCATCCTAAAACCCGACTCCTGCCCCCCCCCCACGCACTGGCCCGTCCTTTCTGGGGAAAACTCAGGAGCTGGGTGCCCCGGCAGCCCCCACTGCCTCCGAACCTACCCACTCGCCTCCCTGACCCCCCACCAAGTCCAGGGTCCCTGGTCGTCTTCTGCTTGCTGACCTTGGTCCCAAGGACCAGGTGTTCTTGAAACACGTCCCCACCATCCGGCTGCAGGACGCAGCTCTGCTTGCTCTCCCGCGACCCTGCCTGGCCTCGGCGTCCCCGGCTGCCCTGTCCCACTGCCCCTCCCTGCGGACCCCTGCAGCGGCACTGGCTGGGGAGGACTTCTTACGCATACACACGCATTTACACAGATTGGCTGAGATGACGTGTGCACAGGTGCACAGGTCTGAAGGCCACATGCACGTCACTCTTTCTCGTCAAATGTGCGAGGCTCCACGAAGCTTCCTGTCACGGCACACAAGCCGCGTGGGCGGTTTAGACCACGATTTGACCACCGTGCTGGTCCCCAACCTGCTGGTCCCAGTAAATTTGCTGTCGCTGAATCTGAAGTGCGGCCTGATCGCGGGCTGATATTTTTGTTTCGAAGGTGTCTGGCGAGTGTCGCTCATTCGTCAACGAGAGTCGCTTCCTCGCTGCATCAGACGGCATTGGGAACAGCTGCTGGGGTTTTCTGTCCCCCCAGCATGATGGTTGGACACACTCCTAAGTTTCGGCTGCGTCGTTAGCCTCTGTCCCTTCCTGACATCTAGACGATGTCACGAAGCTGGCCTTTTCCATGGTGTGAATAATTGGTGAGGCCCCGCTCCACGTCCTCTGCTCCGTACCCTTCACCTTGGAGGTTCCAAGAGGCACAATCGCGCTCAACCGTGCCCGCCACCCCCTGCTCCGGGTGGAGAGCAGGGAATCGTGAGGGGCTGGGAATTTTCAGAGCTCATCGCCTTTGTCCTCGGATGCAAACGGTCCCCTACTTCCTTAGGAGGGCTCAGCGTATAAGTTCTGACTCTTCCATGATGCAGACGCACACCCACCCGGTGGCTCTGGGTAGAGTATTCAGCAAACCCCACGCGATGCCCAGCCTTTGTGGAAAGCAGGCTGCGGGCGGCGGCAGAGCTCTGAGCTGCGGGAGGCCCGACTGGGCCGTGCTGTCTAGGAGGCTGGGCCGTCCTGGCTTTGCCGGCGCAGGGTGTTTTTAAGTTTTGATGGGTTTATTTTCAACTTTCGATGGGTTTACTGGGGTGTGGCCCTCTGACTCGGAACCTTTCGCCCAGCCCGTGTCCCTGCAAGCCCCCTCCCTCCCCGGCTCCCCGCTCCTCCTGGAGGCTCCCGAGGCTGCAGTCCTCTCTGATGGAACATTCTGCTCTCAGCTCCCTGCAGGACGCCCAGCGCCTCATTTCCCGGCCACCTTTTTCGAGCTCCCTGCTCCCGCTTATCCCACGGCCCTGGTCACCTGACATGACGCCCCTGCTCACCTCCCCCCAGAAAGCTGCGGACTCTGTGGTTGGTGTCTCTGAGACACGACTGTCCCCCAGCATCTGGCTCAGTGCCTGGCCTGGGCGGGCGCCCGGTGATGGCATCACGAACAAGTAGCTGTCAGGCCCACCTGGGGGCCGCGAGGGCTGTGCCACACGTCCCCAGAGCAAAAGTGGGCAGGCAGGAGCCTAGGCCTGGGGACACCTGCTCCACCCAGGGACTCTGCCACCCCACAGCCCTTCCCAGAACACAGCTCCTGGGAACCATCCCGGCTTTGGGCAACATTGACTTGTATGAATAACAGCCTCGGCCACAGGAAGCCTTAAGTGGAGTCTTGGTAGGAAATTAATAATAATAATAATGTCATGCACG